ATTTCTCGCTTTCTGTCTCTCTGTCTCTTTCTGTCTGTCTGGCGAGCACATGCGCCCTATAGCGAAAACCTTCCCCCCCCCCCAAAAGGATATATTATAGCCAGATTGACCAAAACAACAGACAAAGACAATATACTAAGATTGGCAAGAGAGAAACATCAAGTTACCTACAAAGGATATTCCATCAGGCTAACAGCAGACTTACCATCGGAAACAATATGAGCAAGGAAAGAATGGGAAAATGTATTCAAAGTGTTACTGGAAAAGCAATTTTAACCAAGAATACTGTACCCAGCAAGATTATCCTTCATATGGGAAAGAAAGACAAGAATATTCTCAGATAAACAAAACCTGAAAGAATTAACCAACATCAGAGCCGATCTCCAAAATGTTCTGAAGGGAGTGCTATACCAGGAAAATGAAATATAGACACACAAAAATAAGAGTTCAAAAACTAATAAAATGGCCACCTTAATCATAGAGACACATCTGGAGTTGAATATTATATCCCAGAATTTAATCAGGAATATCAGACCACAACAGAAGATAGAGAAAATATGTGAGACTGAATCAGTGAAATAGCATTTTATAACTTTTGACTGAAACATTGCTGATTTGTTTTCCAGTTTTAAGGATTTCTGTCCTGTTTTGAGCTGCTGGTAGGTTCATGTGCCTACTATTTGAATAGAATCCTAACCTGTTTCCTGGCTTTAAGTTTTAAGTAAATTTCCTTAGTATTTCTTTGATTTATTAAAGCTAAAACTGCTTTTCTTGAAATTAAAAATATATTTAAAAATACCTTTTAATGACCATAGTAAGCTTTATAGCATCAGTTAGGTGTTTCCTAATAGTATATTCATTCTACTCAGAGTTTCACACCTAAAGTCAGACATGTATTCACTGATATGTACATACTGGCTAAACTTGCTATTGAAAGTAGTTAGATTCCTTAAGAAACTTTGTGTATCAGTAAAATGTGGGGGGAAAAAGAAATGGAAAAACAACTGTAAACACCTAAGATAGTGTGGGAGGAGGGTGGGAAATGGCAGAGGGTGAGAAATAGGGGTAAAATATATGTATACATGTATATATATTAAACTAGAAATGGAAAATTAATGACAATAACATGTATGATTAAGCCACTATGCAGTGGCTTGGATGGGAAGTCACATTTCATATGCTGTGACAATGCTCAGAGAATGAATGTAAATTAATTAATTTAAAATTATTCAGAAGAAAATTACAGTGCACTTGTAACTAGATTCTCCCTTTGCCCATAGTTTTAGTTTAAGGTATTTTATGAAGCAGTAAAATGTGTAAAACAATGTAAAGAAAGAAAAAGAAAAAAAAGTTCACTCTGAGAAGTTGACAGCATCCACATCAAAGGATGTGTCTATTGTCCACAGATTTTTGTCAATATGTAGATGACACAAAGCCCCTGAGAGTAAAGAAGTTCCCTTCCCAGTGTAGCCATTTATGAGGCCTCCAGAATCCCTTGGATCTGAAAACAATTGCTCCAGGGACCAGCAGTTAGCGTAATGGCTATGTCGGTGGACTCCCATGTAGTTGACTGCGGTTCGCGTCCCGGACCTGGTGGCTTAAACTCACGCCGGGCGCATGTGTGTGTGTGCCCAAGATCCCGAGAGGAGAATGGAGGAGAAGGGATTGCGGTGTGGCCATCCCCCCTGGGGGGTGATTTCTCGCTTTCTATCTCTCTGTCTCTCTCTCTGTCTGTCTGGCGAGTGCACGTGCCCTATAGCAAAAACCTCTTCAACAAAAACAAAGACACTTGGGGTCTGGGTTGTGACGCACTGTTAAAATGGGTCGCTCTGCAAGGCTGAAGCACATGGGAAGGATCTGGGTTCATATCCAGAGACTTCCCTGAGTTCACTGGGCATGCGGGTGCCCACGTCCAGGACTGGTCGGGGCTGGGGATGGATCATGGCGTTGAGAACCTGTTGTGACTGCGTTTTCTCTCTGTGTCTCTCTCACTAGTGGAAGAAATAAATAAATACATAAATAAATCCCTTCATATATGCCGTGAAGAAAACTCCTATCTTAATGCTTACCAAAGGAAATGGGTGTGTAGAGGAGTCAGGAGGAGCTGTTTCTTCAGGGTCAGCAAGACCCCAGATGCCAGAGCATCAAGACACACAGCCAGATCTATTCTGTGGATTGGAAGGTGACACATGCTTTTACCCTGGAGGAAATACAACCCTTACTTCCCATTTATAGCTCCCATACAGGAACATGGAAAAAAGGAAGGCCATAGCGTGGTGAGGAGTATGGGCTTTGAAAGTAGTTCTGGGGGACCAGCAGTTGGCATAATGGCTATGTCACTGGACTCCCATGTAGTCAGTCGACCGCAGTTCGCATCCCGGACCCGGTGGCTTAAAACTCAGGCCGGGCTCGTGTGCGTGCGTGCCCAAGATCCCGAGAGGAGAATGGAGGAGAAGGGATTGTGGTGTGGCCATCCCCCCTGGGGGGCTGATTTCTCACTTTCTGTCTCTCTGTCTCTCTCTGTCTTTCATGTGCTCTATAGCGAAAACATCTCAAAAAAAAAAAAAAAAATTGCTCCAGAGAGCACATGGTCTCCCAGAGAGCAGGTTTAGTTGTGGATTCAGGACAGGGAGAGGGAGGCGAAAATGAGAGGGAGAGAAGAAATTCAGGGGGAATTTGCAGCCATATTTGGGTCTTACATCTTTTGTACCTTTTGAGCCCTTAAACCAAGGTGAGGTCAGTCAAGGAGTGGAAAATAGAACAGGCTATTCTGTCATCTTAGAGGTGATGTGTTTTGTTGCTAAACATTTTCTCTGGAATAATTTTGACACTTCCATGTTAAGTTTATAGATGGCAAATGTGTGCTGAATTTTACTATTGGGTCATCAGAAAAGTCATGATGCATTTTTGCATAGAAAAACATAGAAAAATATGCCATGATTTTCCAATGACCCAATAGTTTTGTTGTAACTGTGATTTGAGATTATCTGTGCACTGTCCAGATACCCTCTGCCACTCACCAACCTCTCCAATTATCCTAGTTTAGTCAGACTGCATTGTTCTTAAGACAGACCAATGTTTCTGTGAAATCAATTTGGGTGACACACACAAAACCACTACAATGACTACCATAGCACATTTTGTCAGTTGTTCAAAATTAAGCCAAAATTAATTATGTTATAATTTAATTACAATTAAACTATAAGCATTTACTAGTTCACTCTCAATACTTATAGATAGTATTAAAGTTTTGGTATATGCCTTTCCAGTTTTACAAACAGATTTTTCACTTAATTTCTTTGTTTTAAAAAATTTTACCAGGGACCAGCAGATGATGTAATGGTTATGTTGCTGGACTCTCACATAGTCAACTGTGGTTCAAATCCCTGACCCAGTGGCTTAAACTCATGCCAGGCATGTGTGCATGCATGCCCAAAATCCAGAGAGGAGAATGGAGGAGAAGGGATTGAGGTGTGGCCATCTCTCCTAAGGGAAGATTTCTTGCTTTCTGTCTCTCTGTTTCTCAATTTCTACGGAAAGCACATGCACCCTATAGAAAAAAGTATCTCTTAAAACTTTTTAAAATCTTTGCAAGAGGGCACGTGTGCTCACTGGAGAAAGAGAGAGAGAGAGAAAGAGAGAGAGAGAAAGTGAGAAGGCACCCTCACTCCCCATGGAGAATGGTCATACCACAATTCCTTCTCCATTTCTCTCTCCTTTTGGGATTTGGGGCATGCACACAAACACTGGATATGTTTCTCAAGCCACCAGGTTCAAGACCTGAAGTACAGTCTACAATGTGGAATCCAGTCTCCTTAACCATTACTCCATGAGCTGGTCCTCCTAATTTTTTAAAATGATTTTTTATTATTTTTAAATGTTTCCAGAGGGTACTTGAACAGGCTGGATAGAGTCAGAGAGATTGGCAGAGAGAGAGAGAGAGAAAAAAGTGAGAAAACCCCCACAGGGGCTGGTCACACTCTGTTTCACCCTCATTTCAGGATTTGGGGCACACATGCAAATGTACCTGGCATGCTTTCAAGTCATGGGGTCCAGGAATTGAACTCTATAGTTGGCCATGTGGGATCCAGCTGTTTTAACCACCACACCATCTTCTGGCCTCCTTTTAATTTCTTTATATAAAAATATACAGTATATTCAAAATATATGTATTATAATACATATCTAATTAATGATATATATTTAAAATATATTTTAAAATATGTAATAATTTATCAGAAGGCCTGTGCAGTCACTAGATAAAGACAGAGAGACAGAGAGAGAGGGAGAGAGAGAAAGTATCCTTCAAGGGTTGTGGTCATGCCAGAAACCCTTCTTCTCCATTTTTTCTTTCCTCTTGCCAATCTTAGTATTTTGTCTTTGTCTGTTGTTTTGGTCAATCTGGCTATAATGTGTCTTAGAGAAGATATTCTTAGGTTGATTCTATTTGGGATCCTTTGTATTTCTTGGGACTGGATTTTTTAGTGCCTCTCTAGGTTTGGGAAGTTTTCTTGCAGGATTTCATGGGATAGATTATCAACACCCTTATGAGTCTCTTCACCTTCTGGGATACCAATTATCTGGATGTTTGGATGTTCGATGGTATCTAGTATTTCTTGTATATTATTCTCATTTTTATTTATTTATTTTTTTGCAATTTCCTCAGTCTTCATGGTGGATTTTTCTAGGCCATTTATTCTATCTTTTACACTGGAGATTCAATTTTTGGTATGATCTAGTCTGCTTTTAATACTTTCAAGGGAGGTTTTGATTTTCTGTATTATAGCCTTCATGACTTCCTGTATTATAGCCTTCACCTCTAACAGGTCCATTTGATTGCTTTTTAGAGTGTGTATTTCCTCTTTTAGATCTTGCAAGAATTTCCTCATCTCCTGGAACTCGTCAGCTCTTTTCTCCTGCCTCTTCTGCAGTTCATTGTCTCTCTTCCATCTCTATTAGCTTTGTCACTGTGAATATTCTAAATTCTTTATTTGACATTTTTATGAGTTTCATTGTACAACTTGAAAAACACACCAGGAATTGTGCATGTGTGCATATGTGCCCAAAATTCTGAGAGGAGAATGGAGAAGAGATTGTAGTATGGCCAATGCACTTGGGGGATGATTTCTCACTTTCCCTCTATTTCTGTCTGTCTGTCTCTGACAAGCACACACACACACAACGACAAAAAAATCTAAAAATCTAAAGAAAAAAATCCAGAAAACATGCTTTTGTTTCAAACTCAAAGTCTCAAGGAAATGATTTTTTTAAAATAAGAAATTCAGAGGCCAGGTGGTTGTACAACAGTAGCACAGCTAGACTCACATGGGAAGTTTCAGGATTCACATCCAGGGGCCTCCCTATTCACACTGGCCATGTGTACTTGCCTGTAATCCAGGCAGGCTGAGGCTGGGGTTGAATCACAGTGGAAACCCCTGTTGGGGATGCCCATCTCTCTGTCTTTCTCTGACTTCAAAGAAATGAATAAACTTTAAAAAAAAAAAGGAAATTAATCTATTCACCAAGTGTTAAGGCTGAGCTTTCTAGTCATACCTCTAGTACTATTGACTAGGTTTCTAGTCACCCATTTCTTCATTCAACATATTTATTGCATGATCACCACTTGCCATGCTCCTGCTCTTCCTGCCCAGGACCAAAAAGCACTTTTGCATAAATCCGATCTCATCTTCAGTGCTGATGGTATTAATTGAATTCTGAGGCACCTTGATGAAACTCTTTGGCACAGAAAAACCTCAACTCTTGTTCTGTTGAGGTACAAAAAAATAAAACTAGAAGGAAAAGAGGAAGATAAAACGAAACAGACAGTCTGCCCTCAAATCATCAGAATTAATTAACTATTCAATTCCATCTCCTTCAGGTTCACACTGAAGTTGCAGTAACTTGGCCATAACTTACATAGAGGTGAGGTTGAAATAGATCTCCGGAGATCTCCTGGATGTGGTCTAGGAGAATAATCTCCGAATAGCACGTTTCCACTCTTTTCACATTTCTTTAGCAGAAGGTGTTTATGTTGACCCACGGGCAAGCAACCACTTGATAAAAGAAGAGCAAGCCAGGCTGCTCTGGGCATTGTTCTATTGTTCCTGCATCACAATGTGCTGACATGGCCTCTGAAGTAAGAGAGGAAGCTGAAGGAAGGTCAGCACTGAGCTGAAGTGTCATCAGCATTCCTGGGCAACTCAGCTCAGGAGTCATAGTTTTGGTGGCAGTTTGACGTTTTCAGAAGCTTCTTTGGAGAGAAAAGTCATTTTAGCAACAGCAGTAACTTTGGGAGAGATATTATAATGTGAAAGCTGAAAATACTTTATATCACATATCATTCAATTGATCATTTATTTTATCTCCCAAGTCCTAATTTTCAGAGACCTAAGCCTAGTCAAGGCATTTTGAACTACTTTGAGGAAAAGCTTCAAAAGAATATAGCATCTTTAGAGTCAACTCTATTTACAAAGAGAACTGAGAGCCAGATATGTAGTATGACTATGCTATCTTCACATTTCCACAATCTAGTAAGTTTTGGACACATTCATTAATTTTTCATCAGATGAATGAATGAATATAAATAGATACATAATATCTGTTCTCTGAAGGTATCTTCTCTTATGAAAATAAGTGATTAGTCTATTTGTCTTGGTATTTCTGTGCGTTTAGGAGATTTCCTCTATCATATCATCTTTCTTCACTTTTATTTTTTAATCAAGTATATGAATGCATCAGTAAATCTTTGGTCAATAAAACATGTTATGTAGAGTTTACTTTATGCCAGGCAATGTTCTAAGCACTTTTCGTACACTTCATTTTCCTTTATTACAGATGAGGAAACAACAGAGAGATGCCTACTTGTCTACCTCCTTGTCCACTCTTGAAATGGAAGAGCACAGGGTATACTAGCTAACCACTCAGGCCTGAGGGTGGAGGACATTACCTTAGTGATTTTTAGGTTGCCATATTCTAGTTTCAAACACCTGCTTTTAATAAAGAGGTACAGAGATGGATATTGAACTTGAGGTGATAAATATTGCTTTCATTGACTAAAAATAAAGATTTTCTGCTGAGACTTCTCCCTCCAGATTAATTTCTAGTGGGTAGGGCTACCTCTGTCTCCTTCTCTCCATCTCTCTGTCTCTCCCTGTGTCTTTTATTTTTTAATTTAAAATATTAAAAAAAAATTAAGGTAAAGTATTCATTGGGCTCTCACATCCCTCCTTTATTGTGCTAATTTGTGTCTTTCCCCATCCCATTTAGGAAAAGTACAAACCCAGGCCCATCCTGAGATGGATACTGAACTTGAGCTGTGAAATATTGCTTTTGCATGGTGTGCATGCATGCTCTGTGGTTTTTACTTTTTGCTTTTTAAAATAAAAACCAAAAGTTTTTTTATTATCTTTTTTCTTTCTTTTCTTTTCTTTTATTTTATTTTTTATCCTTTTTCCTCTTCTCTAATTCTTTTCCTTTTTTCTTTATCTTTAAAACCTTGGCTGCTCAGCATCTATGCACTAAGTGTCTATACAGGTCCAACTGAACAGGATCCAAACATCTAAATATGATTAGGGTGAGAATATTCCTCGATTCCCACTGAAGCTGATGCACAAAGAGTGAAAAATGGACTGGAAGAGATATTGCAGATCACATCCTCCTGCACGCCTCTGAACGCTCACACTGAATTTCAAGAATCAGGAAGAAACACACCAACCATCAGATGACTAGAAATCACCGCAGGGTCTTAAGAAATATGAGGAAACAAGAAAATAATTCTCCAAAGGAAAAGAATAACACCTCTTCATCTTCAAACAGTACAATGATACTCATGAAAATATCAAATAAAGAATTTAGAATATTCACAGTGACAAAGGTAACAGAGAGAAAGAAGAGAGATGACGAACTGTAGAAGAGGCAGGAGAAAAGAGCTGACAAGTTCCAAGATGTGAGGAAATTCTTGCAAAATCTAAAAGAGGAAATACACACTCTAAAAAAGAATCCAATGGACTTGTTGAGATGAAGGCTATAATACAGGAAATCAAAACCTCCCTTGAAAGTATTAAAAGCAGACTAGATCCTACCAAAAATTGAATCTCTGATGTAAAAGATAGAATCACTGGCCCAGAAAAATCCACCATGAAGACTGAGGAAATTGCCCAGAAAAATGAGAATAATATACGAGAAATACTAGATACCATCAAACATTCAAACATCCAGATAACTGGTATTCCAGAAGGCAAAGAGACTCATAAGGGCATTGATAATCTATTCCATGAAATCCTAGACAAAAACTTTCCAAACCTATGGGAACCAGCAGTTAGTGTAATGGCTATGTCACTGGACTCCCATGTAGTCGATCGCGGTTCGTGTCCCCGACCCGGTGGCTTAAAACTCACGCCAGGCGTGTGTGTGTGCGTGCCCAAGATCCCGAGAGGAGAATGGAGGAGAAGGGATTGTGGCGTGACCATCCCCCCTGGGGGGTGATTTCTCGCTTTCTGTCTCTATGTCTCTCTCTGTCTGTCTGGCAAGCGCACGCGCCCTACAGTGAAAATCTCTCCAAAAACAAACAAACAAACAAACAAACAAAAAAAAAACAAAAAAACTTTCCAAACCTAGAGAGGCATTCAAAGATCCAGTCTCAAGAAATACAAAGGATCCCAATTAGAATTAACCCAAGAAGATCTCCAAGACACATTATAGCCAGATTGACCAAAACAACAGACAAAGACAAGATACTAAGATTGGCAGAAGAGAAACATCAAGTTACCTACAAAAGATATCTCATCAGGCTAACAGTGGACCTCTCATCGGAAACAATGTGAGTGAAGAAAGAATGGGGAAATATATACAAAGTGTTAAGGGAAAAGCAATTCCAACCAAGAATACTGTACCCGGCAAGAATATCCTTTATGTGGGGAGAAAAGATAAGAATATTCTCAGATAAACAAAACCTTAAAGTATTTACCAACACCAGACCTGATCTCGAAGAAGTTCTGAAGGGAGTGCTATACCAGGAACATTAAATACAGATGCACAGAAATAAGAGTTCAAAAACGAAGAAAATGGCCAACTTAATCATGGGAACAAGTCTGGAGCTGCATGTTATACCCCAGAATTTAATAGGGAGGATTGGACCACAACAGAAGATAGATTAAGTATATGAGACTGAACTGGTGAAATAGCATTTTATGACTTTTGACTAAAACATTGCTGATTTTCTTCTAGGCTTTGTTTTCCAATTTTAAGGAGTTTTGCCCTGTCTTGAGCTGCCCGTAGGCTCATGTACTTACCATTTGAACAGACTCCTAACCTGCTTCCTGGCTTTAAGTTTAAAGCAAAGTTCCTTCGCATTTCTTTGATTTATTAAAGCTAAAACCACTTTTCTTGAAATTATAAAATATATTAAAAAATACCTATTTAACGACCATAGTAAGCTATATAGCATCAGCCAGTGCTACTTTATAGTATTTTCATTCTACTCAGAGTTTCACGCCTAAAGTCAGACATGTATTCACAGATTTATATACATCAGTTGAACTTGCTATTGAAAGTAGTTTAGATTATTTAAGAAATTTTGTGAATCAATAAAATGTGGGGAAAATAAGGAATGGAAAACAACTGTAGACACCTAAGATAGTGTGGGAGGATGATGGGAAATGGCAGAGGGTGAGAAATACGGGGGAAAAATATATATGTACATATATACTTTGGAGAGAAAAGTCATTTTAGCAACAGCAGTAACTTTGGGAGAGATATTATAATGTGAAAGCTGAAAATACTTTATATCACATATCATTCAATTGATCATTTATTTTATCTCCCAAGTCCTAATTTTCAGAGACCTAAGCCTAGTCAAGGCATTTTGAACTACTTTGAGGAAAAGCTTCAAAAGAATATAGCATCTTTAGAGTCAACTCTATTTACAAAGAGAACTGAGAGCCAGATATGTAGTATGACTATGCTATCTTCACATTTCCACAATCTAGTAAGTTTTGGACACATTCATTAATTTTTCATCAGATGAATGAATGAATATAAATAGATACATAATATCTGTTCTCTGAAGGTATCTTCTCTTATGAAAATAAGTGATTAGTCTATTTGTCTTGGTATTTCTGTGCGTTTAGGAGATTTCCTCTATCATATCATCTTTCTTCACTTTTATTTTTTAATCAAGTATATGAATGCATCAGTAAATCTTTGGTCAATAAAACATGTTATGTAGAGTTTACTTTATGCCAGGCAATGTTCTAAGCACTTTTCGTACACTTCATTTTCCTTTATTACAGATGAGGAAACAACAGAGAGATGCCTACTTGTCTACCTCCTTGTCCACTCTTGAAATGGAAGAGCACAGGGTATACTAGCTAACCACTCAGGCCTGAGGGTGGAGGACATTACCTTAGTGATTTTTAGGTTGCCATATTCTAGTTTCAAACACCTGCTTTTAATAAAGAGGTACAGAGATGGATATTGAACTTGAGGTGATAAATATTGCTTTCATTGACTAAAAATAAAGATTTTCTGCTGAGACTTCTCCCTCCAGATTAATTTCTAGTGGGTAGGGCTACCTCTGTCTCCTTCTCTCCATCTCTCTGTCTCTCCCTGTGTCTTTTATTTTTTAATTTAAAATATTAAAAAAAAATTAAGGTAAAGTATTCATTGGGCTCTCACATCCCTCCTTTATTGTGCTAATTTGTGTCTTTCCCCATCCCATTTAGGAAAAGTAC